CAGTGGGGTGTGTCTTGCCCGGTCTGGGCAGAAATGCAGAGAAGGCCTTGTGCGGGAACACCCTGAGTCCAGGGGCCTCCTTAGATCCAAGAGCGGCTCTCCAGTGCGGGAACCTGGGTGAGGCTGACCCCTCCTGGTAACCTGAGGCCACTTCGGGCCAGCAGGAACCCAGGGCTGGCAGAGGGAGAGAAGCCTGCCCCCTTCAGTGCTCCTGTAAGCCCACGGCCTTCCATAACTGTGACAGTCAGCCTCAGGGTGACCCGGACAGATGGCCTCCAGAGTCCAACCAGGCAGTGGGTGTGGGGGGGTCAAAGCATACCCCCTCACTTGTTTGAGGGCTGGGTGAGAGGTCTTCGGGCTCATGTGCCCCATGCGCCCTGGGGGCATCGGCAGATGGGCCCTCCCGGGTCACCACCAGCTAGCCCAGGTATCCCTCTCCTCAAAGACCCCAAAGCCAGAGGGGACAGTTTTGTGCGGAGGCTGGCTCATCCAGGGCTCCCGTGGAGTCTCCCGATTCTGGAAGTTTCTTTGCCTCTATGGCCTGGCCACATCAGGCTGGCCCAGGCGTCTCCAGGACCTCCTGGCCCCAGCAGAGGAAAGCAAGTCTCCCGCTGTGGCCCAGGCCCCTGGTCCTTGGTCGTGGGCCTGACCATGCCCCCGACGTGGGCTCTCCTGCCTTTCCCTGGGGACTCGGGGTGACTTCAAGGGGATGGGACCACAGCTCTGAGCAGGTCCAGCCCCTGGGTGGGCACCTAGCAGGGCTGCGGGAAGGGCGCTCTGGGCCCTGTGGGCCTGGGCACGTCCTGGCACCCCAGGAAGCCCTCTGGGGTCCTTGCTCCCCAGGCCCTTGGCTGGCCTCCGATACATGCCATCAGAGATGCGTAAGGGCGTAAGGGCGGCTCTGTGGGTCCTGAGAGCCCAGGACAGTGCCCGGTCCTCAGGGCGAAGGCACCCGAGGGTTAAGTGAGGACGGGGTTGGAGAGGACATCTCACTGCAGCCTGGGTCTAGAACCTGGGTGCTCTGGGAGCCACCCACAGCCTGGCCTGCAGCCCTCACCCACCCCACGGGTCATCTGGCGGTCATGCCGGCTCCTCCTGGCACCAAGGGTTTATTTCCGATGGGGGAGGAGTACAGGGACAGATGTGGCCTCAGGGGATGGAGCACAACAAGGCCTTGATGGGCACTGGGAACCGTCTCTCTGGAGGGAAAGGAACCATCCAGTCTGGCAGCCACTGGTCCTGGAGCCTGGAAGTCACCCTCTGTCCACTGTCTTCCGCGGCCGCCCTCCCTAGGGGATGACCCTCCCCGACCTCCCACGCACCTCCCCCTCCGAGTGTGCGCCCCGGCCTCTGGCTAGTCCCCGCTGGAGGTCTGGGCCCTGCAGACCCCTGACCTGTCTGGGGGCCGGCTGGGCTCCCACACGGGGCTGAGGGGGGCGTAAGACTGTGAGCAGCAGGCACGGAGGGCATCCTGGAAGAGATGGCAGTGGGTCCAGGAGACCCAGGTAGGGCCTGCTCCGTAGTAAAGAGACGGGACACTGGGGGGCCTCCCAGGGTTAGAGAGGGACAGTCGGTGGCTCTGGAGGTGTGGGCTGGGGGTCACGGAGCCGCATCTAGAAGAACCAGAGTCTTCTGGGGCTGCAGAGATGGGGAGCTGCAGGGTAACCCCAGAAGAGCCGGGGTCACAGGGCCACAGGGTCAGAGGTCAAGGGAGGTCACGGAAGCCACGGCTTGGAATGGGGCTTCCGGACTGGAAGGATACAGGCTGTGCCCACTCCCGGACAGAGGCTCGTCCTCTCCTGTGTCCGAACGCTGGTCACAGAGCCCAGCTGTCCCAGAGCCATCGGGACAGTTGTGCCTGGGACTTTGCCCAGCCGTGGGGAAGGGGTTCTCAGCCCCAGAAGAGGGGTCGGGATGGGTTGGGAGGTGAGCAGGACCAGGGGCCACACTGCCCAGGCTCACCCCAGGACCTCACGCCCGCATGGGTTTGCGTGGCTGACGTTGGGGCCGGGGCCTTTGTCCGGTTCGGCCACAGCTGGCTCCTCGGCCCCGACGTCCCCTGGGCATCAGGCAGGGACGTGTTTGGCGGGGCCACTGACTGGTGGGGCTTCTGGCTGGGAGGATTCGGGAGGAGGCAGCGTGGGCGCCCCGAGTGTGGGGGGCAGCCATCCTGCCCCGGCCCGGCCAGACCCAGGGGAGTTTGCCAGCTGGTGAGCAGGTGGGCCAGCGGGTTTCTCCCTTGACTGGACACAGGATGAATCGCCCCATGCTGGCTCGTCAGCAGGGTCTGCAAGGTGGCAGCCTCACGGGCCCCCACAGGCCAGGGCACGGGAGCCCTGTGGGGGGCTGCCCTCGCTCTGAACACCCAGAGTCCGGCCTGTGCAAAGCCCTTGAACTGCAGCCAGACTTGGGAAAGGACCGGGTAGGCGGGGCCCCGGGGAGGGTCTGCCCCAGACTCCCAGAAGGCCCCCGGGGCTGAGGTGGGTGGACGGCAGTGTTTCTGCAGCTGCGGGGTGGGCACTCTGACGGGGGCCAGCCACGGCCCCTCACCCAGGCAGCCCCCCCACCCCCGGCCTCTGACTCTCCCTGGCATCGTCAATGCTGCTGGGGAGGGGGCTCCAGGGCACGGGCTCCCCAGGGCAGGGTGGGAGGGGGGCTCTGCCCATTCCCAGCCCCCTGTGCTTTAGGCCTGGTTGGCGGCACCCATGGGAAGGCAAGCGGGAAGCCATGACGTCCTTCTAGCACTTACGAGCTGAACGCAGAATGTGGCTTCGGGGTTGTGGCCTCCTGTGGGGGCGCGGCAGCACTGTTGGGGGCTGGTGTCTCTCTGAGCCTCGGTGGAGGAGAGCCTCATCTCTGCCAAGACAGGGCTGCAGGGCTGTGGGGGGCTGTCCTTCCTTCCCTTCTCCCAGGCTCAGAACCCGGGCCGGTCTCCATCCTCTACCGAGGTGGGGGGTAGTGTGTCCCTGCCTCCCTGTGTCCCTCCCCATCTCC